AAGGAGAGTGGACGGTGTCAAGGGAGACTGCAGATGCGGCTTGTCCCTTCTCTGTTTGGATGGACTAGGAGTGTGTTCTGAAATGAAAAATAATTTCTCGAGTCTCTCGACAAGTGTATGTAAAATTGAAACTTACTGTGAGAGAAAATGGCAGACTTACCATCCGGTTCGTTGCACTTTCGTCGCCTCGGCGTGTTGCCCGCATTCTCGGTCCTCCTGTCTTCAAGGCAAACGTTTTTACTATCGCTCTTGAATAAAGTAACGTAGCATACCTTATGGAAACTCACCATTCAGCTCGCACTTTCGTCGCCGTGGCGTGCAACCCGCGTTCTCGGTCCTCCTGTCCCTCACTGGCTTCAGCTTCTCCGTCGTGTTCTCAATATCGGAATCGGACTCGGACTCGCTGCTGGTCAAAGTGACGATCTTCTTGACGGCCGGCACGTACCTCGACGGCGTGTCCTTCACTGTCGCGTTGGTGAAATCCTCCTTTGCTTCCTCCTTACGGCCGTAAAAGCTGCACTTCTTCCGCACGGGGAAAGGAATGGTGGTTTGTGTGCCCGACATCGTTCCCGCCGATGATTTCTTAGGTCTGCAACGAATTGTTAGACGTTAGTCAGAAGTCAGAACTGTACGTTAATCCTTTGTCTTTTACTCAGAAGGAAAAAGAATTGACATATAGTTCTGATTAACGGCCTACAATGAGTTGTTAGTCGTCAGTCCCTTTTCTGTCTGGGCGAAAGAAAAAGGATTAACATACAGTTCCAACTTCTGATTCACGACTAACAACTTCTTATAGACCGGACCTTACTCAAAGTTAACGCCGAACGCGGAAGCTGACGTGACCCGGGGTCGACGAACCCTTGTCCGAAGGAGAAACTGTGAATTCGGCAAGATTTGCACGGACTCTGAAAGTCCTTCGTCCCGAGCGATGCCGAGGAGCGACTTGGTCTTGGTCGCGCGAGTCGCCGCCGCGCGTGAAAGTTGTCGAAAAACCCCCGAAGCGTTCGTCAGCGAAACGCCGGAGAATTCGTTCACGTCAGCGATTTAACGCGTTAACAGCCGTCCGTTGGATTCGTGACGAGACACGTCATTTGCCGCGCAGCAAACACAATAGACATCCTCGCGCGCGCTCCAGCTGCGACTGCACTTTTGGCGGGACGGGCTTTAAACGGGCGGGAAGGCAGACGCGGAACGCGGAACTCGGAACGCGCCGCCCCGAAACGGAGCGTTTCTGAATCGGCGAAACGCGGAAGCGGGTTTGTTCTAACGATATACGATGATTATTAGTAAAAATCATTATGGATCTCGACAGAAATCGACGAGAGAAAGGCTAATATGTTACATTTGTCGTGCGACAAATTTTTTAAGCGTGTTGATTGGCTGCGGGATAGTAAAATTCACGAGGATGTGGAAATATTCTTTCAGCAGCCAATCACCACGCTTGAAAAATTTGTTATACGACAAATGTAATGGCTCATTCAGGGCTGCTTTCGCGAGAAGATCAAAATGATCCGGATTAAAATGACCCTGTGCTATGATTGGTCAAATCTGAAATTTCGTAGCATCACATTGAAATTTTATTCAATGAAATTCCAGATTTGACCAATCATAGCACAGGGTCATTTTAATCCGGATTATTTTGATCTTCTCGCGAAAGCAGCTCAGGGGCTCGATTCTTGAATTTATTCGAAGGAGAAACGTATACGAAAATTCTGCTCTTACAGAAAACTTGCAAGTTGATTGGCTATTCGCATGGCTTTAACCAATCGACTTTCAACTTTTCTGTCAGAGCAGAATGTTCGTATACGTTTCTTCTTCGAATAATTTCGAGAATCGGGCCCCAGACTGAACGCGATGAGCGATGGGCGACGCGCGATATTCAATGGGCGTGCATTATAGGAAAACTGTACGCTTTCAAGTCGATTGGCTATTCGCATGATTTTTAACCAATCGACTTTCAACTTTTCTGTGAGGGTACAATTTTCGCATACGTTTCTCTTTCGAATAAATTCAAGAATCGAGCCCCTGACCCTCGGTGGAAACGTAGTCACATGCAAATAGACCCAAATATTCACTGCGCATGCTGGTGGCGCTGGTGGCGCTGGTGTCGCCGCGCTAAGTGCTCCACGTTCGCCTCTTCGGGTATCTTCCACTTCACCTCGACAGTCTTTTGGAGAAGGTCGGTTTAAAATCCGTAGTAATCCGACGATTCTGGGGCGATCCAGAATTGTCTAAACTGCGAGATGAGAGCTAAGGTAAATTACCACAGACTGCTGTCAATAATTGCTGCGTTCCTCGAGTGTAGAAAATTATTTCGCCACGTGAAATGCAAGAGTATCGTGACGCGATAGACTTTGCTCGCGTATGACGAACAATTTCATCGATGTGACGCTAATGTTGCAAGAGAAGCTTTAGCATTGCAATCGTGAACTTAATAATTCAAGCATGTCGTAATTTTTTTTAGCGGTTCTCTTTATTCACGGTTTGTTTTTCGAACTTAACCTCAACTCGCGTCTCGAGGAAAGCAACGCGTTACTATCGCGTAACGTGCCTAGGCTACAAGTACTCAATGACGTGTTTAATTTACAGTGGCGTAAGAAGAGGATGCGCAGGCTAAAGCGCAAGAGGAGGAAGATGCGCGCGAGGTCCAAATAGGCTTCTTTCCACAGTCTCTGTAGGTGTAAATTTTATTAAGAGTCTCCGGTAGCTACGCCGTTAACTACTTCCATTGCCCTTATCTTTATTCTTATTCGCTACGAAACATTTTAGCTGTGGGGAGAGAACAGACCAGCGACGTTTCACCGTTCGACAAACTCTCCTAGCCGATTAAGAATCCTGGGGAGACGAATCTTCAACGGACATGTTTTTCTCACCGAGAGCATTTTGTACATGCAAATCTGGTTAAATACATCGACTTCGAAGATAAAGTACGGTCTCTTGTCTTGTTACCCACTTCTCCAATTCCTATGGCTCCAGCTTTGAAACAAATATAGAAATTCTTGGTGAAACTGCACCTATTGTATGTTACTTGTGTATATAAACGTTGAATAGCAGATGAACAAGTACACTGGGAATCCCTGGTGCCTTCCTACGTGAATTTAGGCACAGATCAACACCTATGCCCAAGTTCGTACGGCAAGGCATCGGTAACGACGCGCAAATACGCGTAAAACATTTTCAAGCGCAAACGGTATAGGACAAAATTAAAATTTATTGTACAATTAAGGACATTTGGTATTTGTCTATAGAGTGACATAAATGAACAGTAATTGATTACACGTTTTACGTAATTGTGTATCTCGGTAGCGTCGTAACTTAACCTAGCTTCTCAGCCTCGGCATGCGTTGGTGCGTCCTGAGGAACCTGCTCCGCGCGCGGCATCCGTCGCGCGAGACTCCCGGCGGTCACGCGGCGCGGTCGCTGACGTACTCGCGGCTGCGGCTGACGAGGAGGTTCTCGAGCGACGCGGGGAGCGGCCGCGACGATGGAAACGCCGACGCGGGCAAGGGCGCCGGCCCTAACCTGGTGGCGAGCATGGACACGAAGTACAAGATATTTCACGACGCGGACGCGGACATTATCCTCGACGTGAGCGAGGAGCGGCAGAAGATCCTCCTCGAGGACCTGAACAAGCAAGAGGAGACTCGCGACCCTTACGCTGACATTAAGATGAGCCGTGAGTACAAGTCCGAGTGCCGGACCAGGGGGTCAATTCTGTGTCTTACGATATAGCGAAGGTGCTAAAAGTGAGCGGCTTTGTCTCTTTCCAAGAAGTCAATTGTGAAGAGATAATGCTACACACTCTAATTCTCTTATCTTCATTTGCTTCCTTCCTATCCTTGCTCTTGCAGCTCCTTTTCCTCTGCTCTAGTTCTTTCTCTCTCTATCTAGTTGGTCATTCATATCCTATTTTATATCACATGTAGTTCTGTTTACTAAATATGTAAAATTGCCAATTAAACGACTACTACAGTAACGATTGGCTTGCGCGTACGTTAGATGGTGTTACCGGAGTATTCGACATCGAGGAGCTTGTTCAGCTGCTGGAGAGAGACAAGGCCAAGGACATCTTTGTCGCTTCGGTTCCCAAGGAGTACACCTACGTGGACTACATCGTCGTCGCGACGGGAAATTCGAAGAAGCACATGAACGCCCTGGCCACCTTTGTACGCAAGGCTTACAAGCTGAAGAGGCATCGGAACGAATCGATACCCAAAATCGAGGGGGCGGACTCGACGGACTGGTTGGCCCTGGACTTGGGTAAGCGCGTTTTCCGCGTGAGAAATGATCGGATCAGAAAATTGTATCGCGTTTATAACCGCGCGTGGTTTATGTTGCAGGTAACATTGCTCTGCACATCTTCTCGCGTTCTGCCAGGGAGCAATACGACTTGGAGACCCTGTGGACGGTCGGCTCGCAATACGACGACAAGACGATCGGCGAATCTGAGGAGCTGAACATCATGGACCAGTATAACGCCTTCTTGGCCGATCTCCAGCCGGCCGATGACGCCCAATGATTTGCGCACCATTTATTTTAATGTAACAAATTAGAAAACTAGTTAAGCTTAATAAAATGTTAAAGCGGCGAGCTTGTTGTCGACCCAACTGGCAAATTTTATTAAATTCGTCAAATTTGGCTGACCGTATCTGGCAATTTTTATGTTTAGGACTCGACACGGAGCTTTTATAGCATTTTGTGATTATATTGCCAGGATACGGTCAACCAAATTTGATGTTAATTATTGCTAGCGATCCTGAAGATTATTCTCGTTAGTTTATTGAATTCGTTACGTTTCGACCTTGCTTCAGGTCCTTTTCAACGATACAAATAAGAGAGCAGAAAAACAGACTAGCGAGTCATCGTTGTCAATGAAATAGAGTCGAAAGGTAAAAGTTAGCGCACATCCGAACATTATTGAGGTCCGATTTGAACTGAAAAAAATGATAGAAAGGTATTATTAATGTTACTCGATTGTATCACTTATGATTATAGCTGTGCGTGTCGTAACGTTATCGAGCTCTAACATCAAGATCATCATAAAAAAAAGCGTTGTCCCCTGGATAATAATTGTGTGATCAAGTTTTTACAGAGGGAATATTTTTTAAATGGCAAATTATAGTACTAAGAATATAATTTTCCTAAGAAATAGAGGGAAAACGTATTTCTTAAAATTTCAGAATTCATATACATATGAAAAATTCTAGAAAAGATATAAAGTGTTACAATTTGCGTAAGAAAAATCTGAAAAATTGTGAAAAATTTTAACCAGGGTGGTCCAGGGCAGTGCTGGTCGAAAAATGTCATAATTTTTTAAATAATTTCTACGTAAATCTCAGAATTTTCCAGATTTTGTGATACAAATATTGGTACACTGTTGAGAAGTGCCGAGAAGTTTATATCTCTTCTAGAATTTCTCATATGTATAAATTGTAAAATATTCTGACATTTCTAAGATTTCTCATTGTACAATTTGAAAAAATTGCAGATATTTTTTCAGAAATTATAATGAGAAATGTTGGAAATAGAATATTTCGGAATATACAGACGTATGAAGTATTCTAAGAGCAGAAATGGACTTTCTCCGTATTTCTGGAAGATTCCGAGGAAAATTGTCACCAGGGGGTACATAACCTCCTTTTGATTCGCTCTTAGCGGCTCGATGCGTGACAGGTGTTTACAAAACTGACGATTATATCCGTTTGTTATTTCATTGATTTACTCGGCGAGGAAACGCACGTCGCCGTAGAATTGAATTGATATCACGGCTGTGGCGATACTCGATATAATCAGCGCATACGCGAACATAATAAATGAGGCGCAGGCAGGGAAGGTAGGTAAGCTAGGAGGAAAATGAGGTTTTAACGTCTTGGACCGTCGACACCTCGACAATCTACGTCCGGGTGTTTGCAGAAGCATCGCTGCTGTTGGCGCCGGCGAGACTTGGGCAGGAGCCCCCGACGAGCCGCCTCCGGTGGATCCGGGGCACCAGGGAGTCGCGGGAATGGACGTGAGCGCGTTGTTCAAGGCGAGCGTGAAGGTGGTGAAGCTGCGCAACAAGGAGCTGGCCGCGGCGCACGTGACGGTGACGGAGTGCCAGCCGCGTAGGGCCAGGAGCAAGAGCACCTTTTGCGTCAAGGCGCACACGGTGGTCGTGCAGATCACCAAGCTGCGCGAGCTCCTGCTGGAGAACCGCAGGGCCTACCTAAACTTCTCCAACTACCTGTCCGCCGCGCCGCACATGACGGACGCGCAGCGCGACGAGATCGACCTGGGTGCGCAGCAGATAATGAGCAGCTGCTCGCAGCTGGTGAAGGATCTCAAGCGGGAGGTCGCGGCGTCCACGGAGATCACCCAACAGAACCTCGAGCATCGCGAGATCATGCTGTTGCTGATAGAGGACTACCTGAAGAACGTCTGTAAGATATACTCGGAGCAGAAGGCGATGCGCGTGAAGCGGGCTATGGAGATGCGAAGGATCGCCAGGCTGCAGGTGGATCCCGGACCGGCCGTCGGCCAGACGTCGGCGTCGAACACGGCGGAGAAGGTCGCGGACGACGAAGCCAGGAACGGCTCCAACGAGTCGAGTCCGATGAAGATTCAGGAGATCAACGGCGACGTCAGCCCGTTGACGTACGAGGAAGAGTTGTCGGCCGAGGACATCCAGATGTTCGAGTCGGAGAACGAGCAGTTCTACAACGAGCTCAACGCCACGACGGAGGAGGTGAAGCAGATCGAGAGCAAGGTGGTGCACATCGCCGAGATTCAGCAGATCTTCACGGAGAAGGTTTTGGACCAAGACAAGAATCTGGACAGTGTGACGACAACGGTGGTCGGAACGACGGAGAATGTGAAAGAGGGGAACGAGCAGGTTCGACAAGCGATTCAGCGGAACGCCGGTCACAGGGTGTGGATGCTCTTCTTCCTCCTGGTGATGTCCTTCTCTCTGTTGTTCCTCGATTGGTACGACTCGTAAGAGATCTCCAGTTGTATTGCAACAGCGAAAGGAGATGACGGATATATTTACAAGGGATTTTTTTATACAATCTGTGGAAACGTACTTCTAATTATTAAATTATTGAATTTTATAGATTGTACCAATTTGCAATAATTGTTACTTTCGTAAGAACGAAAGAAGAAATGTCAAAGGGTCGAAAACAAAGGAACAGAGGGAAATCTGTCAAAATATGTCGTTATATTTTATCCCCGGACATTATTGTACATAATAGCTATAACTTACTATACAGGGTGTTGAAAAAAAAGGGTTACATATTTTGATAAGAGGTAGTATTGGTCAAAACAAGAAGAAAAGGTCTAATTAACATGGGTCCTAAGACTAATATCTTCAGAGATGCAAGCTATTTTGTTATTTGAGCTCTTTGTCATTTT